CCATCCAACATTATGAGAATACAGATTCTTCTCAAGAACACATAGAATATTCTCCAAGATAGAGGATAGGTTGGGCCAAAAAATCTTATCAAATTTAAGATTAAAAGTATATCGTTTTTTTATGATCACAATGTATAAAACTAAAAATCAATAGCAGAAGGAAAATTGGGAAACTCACAGATATCTAGAGAGTAAAAATCTTGTCCCTGAATAACCAATGGGACAATGAAAATATCCAAAGGAAAATCAAGAAGTATTTTGAGATGAATGAAATTGGAAACCCCACAAATGAAAACTTCCGGAGTATAACAAAAGCAGTGCTAAGACAAGTTTATAATGATAGTTTTGACATACAGAGAAAAAGAAAGATCTTAAATAAATGACCTAACTTTAATCCCCAAGAACTTAAAGAGAAAGAACAAAATAATCCCAATGTTTGCATAATGAAGAAAATAATAAAGATTAGATCAATAAATTTAAATAAAGGCTAGAAAGACAATAGAACAGACCAAAGTAATTAAAAGTTGAGTTTTTAAAAGAAAATAGAATTGAAAAACTTTTCACTAGATTAACAAAAGAAAATATAACAAGAGAAGAATTTCAATCCTTACTGAACTCCTTCAAAAAACTGAAAGGGGGAGACACTTTCAAACTCACCTTATAAGGCCATCATTACCCTCATGAGGCAGATAAGGATACTACAAGAAAGAAAACCACAAACCATTATCTTTGATGAAGATACAAGCAGATTCTCAACAGAATACTACAAATCAAGTTCATCAATACATTAAAAAGATCATTGTGGGAGGCAGAAAAGAAAAAAGATCATATGCGATGAAGAGGTAGGATTTATACTTGGGATGCAAGAATGTTTCAACATGTACAAATTAATAAAAATGATAAACTACAATAACAGAATAAAAGATATCAAACATATGATCATCTTAAAAGATTTATTAAAGCATTTGACAAAATTCAATATTGTTTAATAAAAACTCGAAACAATATACATACAAAGATATGTATATCAACACAATAAAGATCATATATAACAAGCCATCAGATATCATTATACTCAATATAGTGATATGCCATAAGTTTTTTCTCTAGTATCAAAAAGAAAACAAAGATACCCAATCTCACTGCCTTTATTCAACATAATACTGTAAGATCAAGCCAAAGCAATTAAGTAAGAAAAAGAAACAAAGGGCATTCAAATCATAAATAAAAAAGTGAAATTCTCTCTGCTTCCAGATGAAGTCATCCAATATATAGAAAACCATAAAGACTATATCAAAAAAATTTAGAGCTAATAAACCCATTCACTAAAGTTGCAGGTCACCAAATCAACATTCAAAACTCAGTTGCATTTCTATACACTAACAATAAACTGGCTGGGCACTCTGAGAGGGCAATGTGTGAGGATCACTTGAGGTCAGGAGTTCGAGACCAGCCTGAGCGAGACCCCACCTCTACTAAAAACAGAAAAATTAGCTGGACGACTAAAAAAATTAGAAAACATTAGCCAGGCATGGTGGCACATGCCTGTAGTCACAGCTACTTGGGAGGCTGAGACAGGAGGATGACTTGAGCCCAGGAGTCTGAGGTTGCTGTGAGCTAGGATGATGCCACGGCACTCCAGCCCAGGCAACAGAGGAAGACTCTGTCTCAAAAAAAAAAAAACAACAACAAAAATAAATAAATAAACTGAGAAAAAAGTGAAGAAAACAATCCCATTTACAATAGAATTAAATGCTATAAAATTGTTAAGACTCAATTTAAAAGAGGAGGTAAACTAGTCATAAAATCCGACATTAATGAATGTACTGGAAGAAGATGAAAATAAATGAAAAGATATCCTTTGTTTATGGACTGGAATAATTAATATAAAATGTCCATATTCTACAAAGCCATCTACAATTCCTATTAAATCCCTACGAAAATTCCAATAATATTTTTTGCAGAAATAGTAAAAATTTATATGGAACCACAAATGACCCCACATTGCCACATAATCTTCAGAGAGGACAATGCTGGAGTTTTCACACTTCTTGATTTCAGACTATTACAAAGCTATACTTACCAAGAGTTACCATACTGGCATAAAAAGACAAATGGACCAATGGAAAAGAATTGAGAAAGCAGAAAGAACCCGTAAGTATACAGTCAACTAGTTTTCGACAAGGGCGCCAAGATACAAGATACAAAGGAGAAAGTATAGTCTCTTCAATAAATGATAATAAAAAGAGGCTATCCCCATGCACAAGAATGAAATTGGACATTCAAACCAAATACAAAAATTGACTCAAAATGGATTAACATTAAATGTAATATCAGAAACTACATAACTTCTAGAAGAAAGCATAGGGAACAATCTCTTTGACCTTAGCCTTGGCAATGATTTTTTATATCACATCAAAAAGTACAAGCAATAAAAGCAAAAAACAAAAACAAGTGAGACTACATCGAACTAAAGTTTCTCCACAACAAAGGAAACAAAGAGCAACACGAGAAATAAAAGAAAATATATCTGATGAATGTACTATATCTAACATGTATAAGGATCTCAACTCAATAGCAAAAAAAACAAAAAGTAAATCTGACTTTAAAATGTGCAAATGACATGAGTAGGTATTTCTCCAAAGACATAAAAGTGGCAAATAGGTTTACGAAAAAATGTTCAACATCATTATTCATCAGGCAAATGCAAACCAAACCACAATGAGATAGCTATCATCTCACACCTATTATAATTTCTGTTATCAAAAATCAAGAGATAATAAATGTCAGCAAAGGTGAGGACAAAAGGAAACTCTTGTACAAGGTCAGAGGGAATGTAAACTGATTAAGCCATTATGGAAAGAAGAATGGAGGCTCCTTGAATATTAAAAAGAACAGTACCATACAATCCTTCAATCTCACCTCTGGGTACATATCCAAAGGAAATGAAATCAGTAATACAAAGAGATACTTGCTCTCCTATATCAATAGCAGATTATTCACAATATATAGTATTTTCAACCATACGGAAAAAAAAATGAATCCTGACATTTGTGACAAAATGGATGGATGAACCAGGTGGAAAGTATGGTAACTGAAATAAAATAGAGAAATACAATTACTGTCTGATATGAGCTATTTGTGGATTCTAAAAGAGTAGAGATCACAGAAGTAGAGAGTAGACTATTGGGTGCCAATGGTGGGGAAGGGTGATAAAAATGAGGAGATACTTCTCAAAGACTACAAACTTCCACTTACAAGATGAATAAATTCTGGGGATCTTATGTACAGGATTGCAAATATAGTCAACAGTACCATATTGTATACTTAAGATTAACTAATACTCTCTTACGTAGACTGAGAGTAGACCTTAAGTGTTCCCGCCCTGCAAAACAATTTAGCAACTATGTGAGATGATGGATATGTTAAGTTCATTGTGTTAATAATCATTACACAATGTACATATATCAAATCATCAAGATATATGCCTCAAAAACATAAAATTTATATTTGTAAAAATATCCACATATCAGGAAAAAAGAACAAATGAATGAACAGACACATTCTCAGTAAGCTGTATACTTACCAAAGTTAAAAATGTATCCATGTTAAAAATGTATCCAATGTTAAAAATGATAACTATTAAGATATAAGGTAATAGTCAAAAGTTCACTATACACTAAGTTCCCCACAGACT